GCCAAGCAGCGGCGAGAGGTACGGCTCGAGACGCGCGAGCTTTTCTTGGCGAGCGCCGTCACGATGTGACACGCACTCTGGCGCGTGCCTGCGTCAGCGTCGACCAGCGCCGCGTTGAGCTGATCCGTGACGGCGCCGAGGTTGGCGTCCTTGGCGCCGGCAATGACGTCGGCGACCTTGGCGGCCGCGACGTCGAGATTTTCGGGCGCCGTCGTAAAGGCTTGCTTGAGCGCCTCAGTGACATTGCCACCGTTGCCCGCCTTGGGGCTCGCCGCCGCGGGCGCGTTCGCGTTCGTGGGGCTCTTGGCTTTCGGGCTCTTGGGCATGGCGGCGGGGTGGCGAGTTGCGGAGCTTCTTGGTCGGGTGCGATGCGCACGGTGAAAAGAAGAATGAGTTCGGCGGTGAAATGCGTTGCCAAGCTGCGCTATTATTGTCAGTGGAGGCGACAGCTCCCAGATCGGCACCGATTGTGATTGGGCGCCATTTATACTCGTGTCAAAATGAGCCGTTTTGGCGCCAAATCCAAGTTGAAGTTGGTTTTCGATGTTTCACGAGCGTTGATTGGTCGAAATAGCCCCAAGGAAAGATTGATGTTTTCCGATGACGCGTCGGTGAAGGGCTGTGGGTTGACGACGACTGTACGAAATGCGTGCGACGGAGAGTCTGTGCAGCCTACAATTCCAATAAAGTAACTTTAGAGATAATTCGGCAACACGCCTTGCGGTCGCTTAACACTCCAACGTTATTGTCAAATGGGCGATAGACCACGATACCTTGTCGCCTGTTCGATCGTATTTCTACTGTCCGATCTAATGAAGATCTCTCCGGTGTTCTTGGTGCTCGAAGGGCTGCAATCGGCTCAACATATTCAAATTGGATGTTGAGCTTCATTTTGCCACGATCCAATCGCGGCAAAAACTGGGTTGTTCCGGCAGTGCAGAACTACAAAGATTTCAGATTGTCTTGACATGGTACCCCCGACCGTTCGAACGAGTGGCGGCCTTTTCCGCAAGCTCTCGCATGACAACATTATCTGTGGCGGCATCCTCCGCGAGCTCATTCTTTTGCCCGATACGCTAAATTGTAGCGTGCATAACGCCCACGTGATGCATGATCGGTGGCAGCAAGGGTAGTATATAAAATATGCACCGTTTATATACTCTTGGTGGCAGCGAACATCGGTGGCATTCGCTAACACTATTTAATGTCTGAATCTTGAGCACGCATCGCATCAGATGTGTAATGGTGTAACGTTATCAATCACATGTCCGCATGTACGACCGAGATGACATCAGTCGTCTGCGTAAATTCAACCACACACGCGTCCAAGGACTTCCTTTCTTGCTCGTCGCGTTGGCAGTCATTGCTCCACTCCTCCTATTTGAGCATCTCGCGTTCGAATTGCTGGCGACATTCCGCGATGCCACGCTGAAAAGACTCTGGGACAAGCTCGCACCACGCCTCTCCGACACCCTTGCGTGCGCGCCGCGGTACCGTACAGTCCGACGCATTCCGTGATGACCAACGGTCGTGGACATGGCCTTAAGTGGATCGGTCCATGCAGTCTGGAGGCAACCACACAAGATAGTTAAGATAGTTTAGAGACCGGTGCGGCGGTCGTTCCTTCGTCCTGATGGAGGATTGCAATGCATTTGTACATTGAGACAACGGCTTCGAAGGTCTGTATCAATCCACAGGATATCGCGTTGCATGATGGTGTCACAAAAACGAGCCAATCACAGGCGTTGGGGCCGTGAGATTGCACTTTTTTTCATTCTCCCACGATGCAGACGCTCTTGTACGACGTCCGCGACGTCGAGTACATGGCGATCTACGACACTGCCGTGCAGCACATTCCTCTGCGCAAGGACCTCGCGCACCTCCGCCCGCCGCCGCCTCGGCTCACGGACAAGCGCGACATCTTTGTCGGCGTCGCCGCCTACCGCGACGGCTTCAAGTGCGGGTTCGCGCTCTGGACGGCCTTTTCGCGCGCGGTCCACCCTGAGAACGTCTTCTTTGGCATTGTAGACCAGACACTGGACGATGATATTGCCTGTATTGACGCCTACTGCGCACGCGCGCATGAGACGTGGCCACACGAGGCGTGCCGATACAAATCGCAGATCACGATCGACGCGCGGTCAGCGGCAACCTCGAAAGGCCCGACACTCGCCCGCGCGCAGCTGCACGCGCTCCTTGGCGATCAAGAATTTGGCATGATGATCGATGCGCACGTGCAGTTTACTCGAAATTGGGACGACGTGGTCATTGCCGAGTGGGCCGCGGCCAAGAACGAGATGGCCGTGCTCTCCCACTATCCGCTCGGCTACGAGCACCTCTCGGCCAACGCGACGTTCGATGGCAACTATGGCTCCCACGTGTGCAACTACAAGCCGCGCGCGGCCGCCAACGCCGTCATCTACTACTCGGGCATCCTTCTTGCGGAGCACTTGGAGCGTCCGCTCTTGTCCGTCTCGTGGGCCGGTGGCTTTTCGTTTATGAAGAGCCATGCGTGGCGCCGGGCCCCCGTCGACCCGTACATGAACTGGGTCTTTTATGGCGAAGAGGTGCTGCATGCGTTCCAGCTCTGGACGCGGGGGTACGATCTCTACTCGCCGAGCCAGTTCGGCAACGTCGTCTTTCACAACTGGACCGACGACGGCCACAAGCACCGGTAGATCGATGCACAATCTCTCATGTCGGAGCGCACATTTAATGGGCACATGTACTAGCTTCTCGGACAACGTCACGCGCCTCATGACGCAAGCCGAGCACGACCGCGAGGAAACCATGGCGTACAACCGGCTCCGCCTCCTGTTTCAGCAGTCGTTTGCCGGCGACGTCGACGCGCGGGAGATCGACAAGTATGGCAGCGGCAGC